GGGTCTGTTTCCATCAGTTGCTGGATGGAGCCTCTCTGATGACAACTGGGCTCAGTACCGATCTATGAGCATAGCAGAATGTCATTAGGCACCATTACATTAATTTTTTTTTGCCTGTCTTATTTGATTCTATCCCAGTTTCTGGGACATCCTTCCTCTGGCAGTGTCAGGGTAAGCTCACTTTCATGGCATGAGTCTTGGGCTGACCCAGTCATTCATGGGCCACTTCCACAATCTCTGTGCCACCTTTACCTCACTCAGCACATCCTATAGGAAGGACAGACAGACTGTAGGTCGAAGGTTAATGTGGTTGGGTTGGTGTTTCAGTCCCTCCACTGGAAGTCTTAGCTGGTCACAGGAAGTGGTCAGTTCAGGCTATGTATCCCCCATTGCTAGGAGTCTTAGCTGGAGTTACCCTTGTAGGTTCCCAGGAGTTTCCCTTGCACTAAATTCCTACCTCACTGCGACATGCCCACTGTTCCAGTAGTCTCCTTCAGTACTCTTTTCCTCCACACCCCCACCTGATCCCTTATGTTCCCATCCCCACCCACTTTCAGTCCATTATTGACACTTTCAACCCCCAAACATATATGAGAAATCAGTCTTGCCTGGGTAGGGTGTTCATTGCCTAAGACAGAACTTTCATGAAGGGGTGAGGTTCCGGGATACAAGCAGAGGGAATTTGGGTTCATCTACAATGTCAGACCCGGTGGGATTCACCTACAGGGTGGTGGGTGTGTGGATACCCAGTGTTCTGAGGCAGGAGTGACAGTGACGTCTCAACCTTCTCACCACCATCCCTTCTCCACATTCCAGCCTCCATTTGGAGTCTCTTGAGGATCTGCCATGAGTTCTCAAGAAAGGTTCCCCATCTTCAACATAGAAAAGGCTTAGGACAGTTAAGCCCTTGATCTGAAGTCTAAGCAGAAAATCATGGAGCAAGGATTTGAACCCGTCTGGGGACCAAATTCTCAATTATGTTCACTTTCTTTTTTTTTTTTTTTTTTTTTTTTTTTTTTTTTTTTTT